GAATGCCCCTGATTAGTGATGGGACACCTAGACAAATAAAACATTAAAACAAGTTTAGGCCCAATAACTAAGGACTTAAGACACAAATATGACTAACATAAACACTAAACCAGCCGAACCAACAGTTACAAACCAATCTAATGCTTCAATTGGTATACTCTGTTTGACTCTAGGAGAGAGTACTTTTGAGTTTTGATGGGGAATTTTAAACTTATCTGAAGCAACAAGGGATTCAATGTCAAAGATCTTGTTCAGGTACACCAAACAAAATGGAGCAGCAGTGTAAGAATAGACATATATTGAGTGTGGTGAGAACCCTACTACAAACATGGTTTAAAATGTCCCAAAATTCCCTAATATTTCCATGGACTACAAGAGATAGTTTTTATGACATTTTCATTTCCATTTCCAATGGTAGTGATATAAAATTTTGCCAGAAACAACATACTCCAATAAACACTACCAGCACTATAGTACAAGAGATAGCACTATAACATAAATTGGAAACAATATTGTAGATACGTGGAGCAATAGTGTTATTGCCTGCTCAACTTACATGATTACCACTTTGAGCTAGTTCAATATTCATTGCAAATATTGTTGAGAGTGTAAGGGCATTTTTGTCCTTATATGCTTTTGTATTAGGGCACCTAGTTAGGGGCATATTTATAATTTCTTCATTATGTTCAAATATTTTGATTTTAGGTGTGAACAGTAACACACTCATTCTCTCGACAAACTCTTCTTTTCCCTTTTCTTCCTCTTTTTCTCCCTTCTTCCTTTCTCTACCACTCAATCATTTGAAGTGTTTTAAAAGGCGTGGGAGGCATACGACAAGACCCCCCTTTCAACTAATGTTATGCAACTTTATTCTTCTTAATATAAAAGATTTTTATTAAAAATAAAGAAAAAAATGAGATCCCCCCTCCTCTTCATCCTCCTCCTAACCCCCCTCCTCTTAAGGAGGCTTACACCTCCTTGTGTTYGGGAGGCTTACGCCTCTAGCATTCTGAACTATGCCTCACGCCTCTAGGTAGTGGAACGCCTCCTGGTTGGGACTCAGACAG